ACCTGATCAAAATTCAAACTCTCAGCAACTGATTCATATTTATGACGGTCACAGTGTCTTGGGGGGGTCATGTGATCCTCTTTTTTTTTGCGACCTTCTGACAAGCAAAGTTAGTGGGGAAGCTGGATTCGCTTCACAACTGTGTTACTGACTTAACAACTGCAGTGATTCCCTGTGGCTAGAAAAGGTCATAAAATGATGCAAAACTCACTTAACAACTATCTCATTTAGCAACAGAAATTTTGGGCTCTATTGTGGTCGTACGTCGAGAACTACCTCTACACTAGCCTACCCTTGGCAGGAGCTTTTCAGGTAATCCTATAGAGCTACTTGTCTTCATTGAATCTCTGTACAAGAAGACAAGAGAGAGAGAAAGCCTGACACCCATGACTTCTGGACTTCTTTTGAACCTCTTTTCCAGCTGTGGTAAAAGGGAATTTTCTCCTGTGATATAAAGTAGCACATGGCATCTCTGCACCTGTGTTTCTTCTCTTCTTCTGTGTCTCATCTAGTTTGTACACTGGGAAAGCAAAGTGAAGGCAACATAGACCCTGCCTTACTAGAATGGGACAATTCATCATGGCCAACTTGCCGTAGACAACTCCCCATGGGACGACTCCCCACAGGACAATTCAACAAATACAAAAGTTAAATTAATTGCAATGGAACCATGGTTAATAATAATAATAACAACAACAACAATAATCTGCTGCAAGAAGATCACACAGACTGACTACAAGCAGCGGCATGACAAAGTAACAACAATGGTGCATTGGAAGATCTGCAAGAAATATCATTTGCCTGTAAGCAAAAACTGGTGGGATCATAAAATAGAGAAAGTCATAGAAAATGATAAAATTAAACTGCTCTGGGACTTCAGAATTCAAACAGACAAGCACCTGCAACATAACACCCTGGACTTAACAATTGTCAATAAGAAAGACAAAAAAGTCTGGGTGGTGGATGTGGCAGTGCCTGGAGAAAGCAGAATAGACGGGAAAGAACTGGAGAAGATAACAACATACAAATAGAAACAGAAAAACTGTGGCAAAAGCAAGCAAGGGTAGTACCAGTAGTAATAGGCGCCATGGGTGCAATCCCAAAACAACTGGAGCACCACTTGAACACCATTGGCATTGACAAATTCGCCATTAGTCAATTGCAAAAGGTGGCCTTACTAGGAACTGCTTCCATCTTGCGACAATATCTGTAATACCATCAAACATCCACATCTGCCTATCCCAGGTTCTTGGTAAGGACTCAATAGGTAGACAAAATGCCAAATCCAGTCTGAACATCTGGCTGACTGTGCAATGATCCATAATAATAATAATAATAATAATAATAATAATAATAATAATAATAATAATAATAATGATGATGATGATGATGATGATGATGATGATGGTGATGATGGAAGGGACCTTGGAGGTCATCTAGTCCAACTCCCTGCTCAGGCAGGAAACCCTATACCATTTCAGACAAATGGTTCTCTAGTCTCTTCTTAAAAACTTCCAGTGTTGGAGCATTCACAGCTTCTGGAGGCAGGTTGTTCCACTGGTTAATTGTTCTAACTGTCAGGAAATTTCTCCTTAGTTCTAAGTTGCTTCTCTTTTTGGTTAGTTTCCATCCGTTGCTTCTTGTCCTGCCTTCAGGCACTTTGGAAAATAGCTTGACTCCCTCTTCTTTGGGGCAACCCCTGAGATATTGGAACACTGCTATCATGCCCCCCCACGTCCTTCTCTTCATTAAACTAGATGTATCCAATCCCAGCAACCGTTCCTTATATGTTTTAGCCTCCAGTCCCCTGATCATCTTTGTTGCTCTTCTTTGTACTCTTTCTAGAGTCTCAACATCTTTTTTACATCATGGCGACCAAAACTGGATGCAATATTCCAAGTGTGGCCTTACCAAGGCACTGTAAAGTGGTATTAATATTTCACGTGATAAAATAAAGTCGATCCAAAAATACAAGACTGACAACAATTTTGATGAAAACCTGGTCACCAATAATAAAAGTATCTGAATGAAACCACTAATACATTGTTGCATTGTCCCGCAGCAAGTTGCCCTGGGGTGAGTTGGCTATGGCATGTTGCCATGGCAAGTTGGCCACGAGAGAATTGGCCTAGACCCCTCTTTAAAGTCATGTGACTGGGAGGAAGGAAGGTTTAGGGTTCAGAATGGAGCAGTCAAAAGCATTCTGAGCTCCTGCTTAGCTGCCTTTCCTATAGGGCAGTGTTTCTCAACCTTGACAATTTTAAGGCATGTGGACTTCAACTCCCAGAATTCCACAGCCAGCAATGCTGGCTGTGGAATTCTGGGAGTTGAAGTCCACATGCCTTAAAATTGTCAAGGTTGAGAAACACTGCTATAGGGATAAATGGGGAAACTTGGGGTTTCTTTCTCAGCAATGTCCCCACTTGATTTGGCTCATTTTTGAGTTTCATTATGTGTGTGGGGGGGTGCTATTTTTCAACATCAAATTTTTTCCCGTTCTATTTAATCTTCAGAGAGTGGTCTTGGTACCTCCTAACCTCTTTATAAAATTTCTTTCTAATGTTTTTTGCGCTTTGAAAGAACAACAAATGTTATATTTCATTCCCTACTTCTCACCTCCTGTTGCCGAAAAGGAAATATTGATATAGCCTATCCATGATCATACATATCCAGCGCAGCATAGTATTTTTTTTCTGCATGATTGCACGCCCTCTGAAACTTAGCTTGAAACAATAAATTCATCTACCTTTGGAGGTGGGGAGATGTTAGTGGGAATAGAAAAAAAAAATAAACATATTCATCATTCTGCAAAAGGATGAAAGGCTTTCCTTGTGAACAAGTGGACTAGAGGCAAAGTGGTTGCTGAGCTCAGGCAGGTCTTAGAGACTTCAGGAAACAAAATGATGTGTCTCTCTGGTCTTTATGCTTACACTGTTAACATCAACTTCATCAGGCTATTTTATATGTTAGTTGAAAGGAATAGAACTGAGGAAGAGAATATCATGTATGCTTGGTGGTTGATGAACTGATGTAAGGAAAACAGCCTAGTTTTAAATACCGGAAACACCAAAGAGATCATTGTCGAATTTCAGAAAAGGCAGGCACAGCCACACTTCTCTGTGCATTAATGATTCATATGGTTACCAGCATCAAATCCCTGGGTGTGCAGCTAACGAGTAGGCTGGCTTGATCGCTCAACAGTGAGACACTGGTGAAGCGGGCAGAGCAGCGCCTGCATTTTCTGCGTTGCATCAGAAAAGCACAACTTCCTTCCCCTATCCACTTTCTACAGGGGGACGATCGAGAGCATCCTGTCATACAGGATCACAGTCTGGTTTGGAAGCATCACTGCTTCAGACAGGAAGGCGGTGCAGAGAGTGGTGAGGATGGCTGAAAAGATCATTGGCAGTTCTCTTCCTCCCATCCAGGACATAGCACAGAAGCGTTGCTTGAGCAGGGTCCATAAGATTATCTGGGACACTACACATCCTCTTCACGACCTGCTTTTCTTGTTATCTTCTGGGAGGAGGCTTCATGGTATCCGTAGCAGAACATCCAGATTCAGCCATAGTTTCATTCCATACAGCATTAACCTTGTGAACTCTCAAGCTTCCTCCTTTCGTTATATATTCAAAATGGGCAATATTTAATATTCATTTGTTATGCATATGTAGGGGTGTGGGTCTATACATATGTTGTATATAGTATGTTTCGGTGTGTGTCATGTATGTGTTTCACTTTGAGAATGGGCAACTAAATTTCATTTTTGATGTGTGCCGTTGTGCCCACAGTAAAAAAATGACAATAAAGATTGTCTTGTCTTGTCTTGTCTTGTCTTTAAATATTCTTTAATTGTCTTCTTAATGGTAGGAAGGATCATCAATAGGTAATCAGTTTTGCATTTTTTCAATTCTTTGCATGTACACTTTGCTTTAAGGTGATGTCTTTAGGATTATATTACATTATCAATAATAAAATAGAGAATACTGGTTCCTTGGAAGATAGTTAGTTAGCTCTGTTCCTGTAAACTCATCTTAAATCCTGCTGTTTTGAACATAAAACTAAAAAGATAACGACAATTTAATTGCCATCTTCTGGTAAAAAGCAGCACAGGCACATGAAAGGAAGAATTCTGCCCATAATGAATGCATTTTAATGTCAAAGAGCTTCAGAAAAGGAGTGAAAGTGCATTTATTTTAACCTAGTCATTTGTGCTCCAGCAAAAAAGAGTACAAAGTGTTACTATGTGCTGCTGTTTTTCTTTCTGGACAAATTGAGAGCAGAAGCACATGGAAAGATTTGGTTCTTGCATAGACATAATATTTTGCTTGTAATATTAGCAGATGTATTCCTCTGAACACAGAGAAGCAGTTTCTGCATGCATACATATATTTACATATAAAATCACCATTAATCAAATTGATTTGAACTTAAGGTGAGATACAGACATAGTGCTGTAGTCATATTTATTTAGTTTGCAATAGTTGTAAAGAAAAAAGAAACACCACAAAACATATGCATTGATAGCAGGAAGAGCAGGACAAAAATGTTATGGATAGACTTTATCCATTTGTGAGAAGAAAGGCAAAAGAAAAAGAAGCAACCAGAATAACATGTTAAAAAATAAAAAAAAGTCAGATAGAAAGTTGTCTCTTTGGGTTTGACTGGCTTAACTCTCTACAACTCTCTATCCCAAACCCAATTTCCTCAAGACTGGCTTAAGTTTGGCACAAGATTGGCTTAAATTGTTGAGTTATAATGTCTAAAAGCAATAATTGCAATAATCCCAGCCATTATTGCTTTTAGACACGTAGCCCAGATAAATCTGGATAGCCCCAAGTTGGAGAAATATGATCTATATATTTCAGCTAATAAACATCTGATCTATTTTGGAACAGCACAGATGTCTGTATTATATTTTACCTACATCTGCACTCTAACATCTGCATACAGGACATTCTGTTTCTGCAAATTTTGTAAAGGAGGTTCTTTTTAATGTATCACTCATGGAGGAGTAAACAGTCTGTTGTCCTTTCATTTGGTTGTCCCACCTGTTCTTCTGGAGAAGTGAGTTTTAATTGATCTTCTCCTACATCTTGAGCTAGGACTGTGCTTGTCATTGGTTGGGGTTCAGGCAGCATGATAGGTTTTCCAGCCTGCATTGAATTCTCTGCATAAAAGATATCAGAAGATTGATCCACTAATGGATCTCCAGTACTAAATATATGCTGTTTTAACCAACTTCCAAAGCATGGTGTCCACCCAAACCCTTGTGTTGCATGGTGTTCCTTCCTATCAATTTCACCAATAGCTTCATTTCTTATGCCTTGTGGCTGTGGAAATGTTAAAGCTGCCTTTTCAAACTCTCTCTTGGGCTGATTTACCTCCACGATATGAGCAAGTACAGTATGTCCATCCCCTCTGATACTATTTTTAGAGCAAAGTATACTCTTGGAAGGAAATAATCCAGTTTCATGGATAGTATCATGATCACTTGTTTGGGCTAATAGAGAATTGGAGCATGGAGGACTCTTTCCTAGATCTGCTACTTCTTCCTCAAAGTCACCTGGATGTTCTCTGTGATTAGACTTCAGAGAATTGTTCCAAAGATTAGACTGAATGCCAGCTAGGTATGCAGGACGCCTGGCATATAAAGCATGGCTGCCTTCAGGATAAGTTGGACTACTTTTTTGTTCCCATGAAACCGCCCTGAACTGAGGTGCAATTCTCAAAGGTGCCAGTATATTTTCATTTACCCCTAGGGACTCACCTGCACAGCAAAAATAGTTGATAGTAGGTTGGGAGGTGATTGTTTCATGTTCTCTTGGATATCCTCCCGTATTAGGATAATTTCTCCTTCCAGGAGCATTATTGCTTGAAATGGGTGCACTGATATGTATGGTTCTCCACATATCTTCAGTATGTGTTGGGTTTCTTCTGATGTTTGTGGAGTAAGGATTAAAGTAGGATGAAGTTTCTTTGGGAGCAGATGGGTCAGCCACTTTGGGGGGCCATGTATCTCTTTCATCATAAGGTGATCTTCCTTGGAAAAGATTACTAGTTTGTGGTGGAGGGTATGGTCCAGGGTATGGCAGATTCCTCTCTGTGTGTCCATGTGTATTGCTTATATGATATGGAATATGTTCATAATGTTCTGAACCATGCACTGGAGAATGTTCTGGGATCTGTCTGTTCATTTCCTCATATGGCAAATTGCCTCTTCCATTGGCTGGATGTTCTATAGAATATTTGGGATTTATATGGTGCTCACTTGGATTATAGGGAGGATTTTGGTACCGTATATCAGGATCAGCCAAATGTTTTTCATGGGGCCATATATTTTGCCTGGAATATAGTTCATTCTCCTGCTGAATGCTTCCATGATATTCGTTCCTGTGCATTTGATCTGAAGGCAAAAGGGGCGAATAAGAGCCTCTTTGCCCCAGAGGCTCTGTTGTAGGCAAGTTCTGTTTGTCATCCCATGCTCTAGGATAAAAGGAAGGAGCTTGCTGGCTGTAAAAATTCTTTTCAGAATAAGTAGCATGTTCCCTTTGATGAAAAGAATCTGGGGAATACACTGAATTATATCCTGGAGGAGCTTCTTTAACCATCTCTAAATCTTTCTGATTCCACATTTGGTTTAGTAAAGATGGAAATTGCTCTCTCTGATGATCTGGATGAATAAAGGACGGTTCCTTCCAATCATTCTTATGGGCTTCTTTTTCAAATGGAATTCCCCTTGTATCCAAAAATGTTTCTTGATGGAATTGACCATTTGACTGTTGTTTTCTAGAAGGATGATACATATCACTGTTTTCTTCTACTTTCTTTAGAGAATGACTTTGTAATGGAGAACTAGGTTGTTTATTACCTCCGTATGTTGGAATTTTATTCCATTGAGGTCCTGGACCAGAGCTAGGATCAGCTCTCCAACTTGATGGATTATTTCCAGGATAATGGGATTTCTCTTGTTGCCCAAATGTGTTTGGTCTATTTTTTGCTGTTGGGTGATTATTGTTAATTCTCTGCAGATTAGTTCTGTGAACTGAATTGTCTCTATAAACCCAAGGGTCTGCTGGGTTTTCAGCTTGTATCGATGGATTTCCTCTAGAAACTAAAGTGTTGTGTCTTGTATTACCCATATCTGAGTTGGGTTTATAAATATATGAATCACGTCCCCTGGATTGTTGGTTACCTGAAAACAAATTGTGAAAAACATTGGTATCTGTAGACTTAGGTCTATAATTTGATTGATCAATGCCATTTTGTGCTGCTTCATTTTGCCCTGACCTATGACCAGTAGGAGAAGGTGTTGGGATTCCATTTCCATGAACAAAATTGGCCTCATTATTTGTTGTGCTGAGCCCTGAAAGATTAGCATTCCCTCCATGGCTGGCTGGAATGGTTGAATTTGTGTCTGAAGCTGTTGAGTTTGTTGTAGGATCTGATGCTGGATTCTCCTTAGGGGGTTCTTTTTCTTTGGGTTTCTCAAAATCTTGTTCATACATCTCTTCAGAATAATAAGGAGGCCGATTTCCTAACCCGTGGTAGCCATATCCAAAATACGGTGTCTAAAAATGCAAAGAAGAAAATGAAACAGTATAAAATGATCATGTCTTAATCAAGTTTTTTTCTGATTGTCCGAAAAGCCAATGATTCTAAACAGATCTTGACTCCTGGGTATAATTATTATGATAAAATAAATATGATTCAATGTGCATCAAACTTAAGCATTAGAACTAGCAAACATTAAACAGCGATGTGTGCAACTGTGGTATAATCAAGGTCTCTTTGAAAATCATGGTAGCTCTTCTCAAACTATGCCATTTTTCTTTACGTGTAGCTCATATATAGATTAGTGCATTTACTTGTTTTACTTACCCCTTCTTCATTGCTGACAGGTGGCTGTCCAAATGGTATATGCTAAGGAAATTAATAAATAAGTCAGGAAGGACTGGGCAAATACAAGACAGAAACCTTTAAAAAGCTATGGAATAATAACTCAATGTTTATCAGTCAAATATACTTATTTAAGACCTATCAAGAGCCAATCCTGTCTAGTGGTTATGGCACTAGGCTAGAAATCAGCAGTCCATGAGTTCTAATCTGACTGTAGGCATGAAAGCCAGCTGGGTGACCTTGGGCCATTCCTCCTCTCTTTCAGCCCAACACACCTCACAGCATTGTGTTGTGGAGAAAGTAGGAGGAGGAAAGAGTATTAAGTACGTTCAGCACTGAGTTACTTATATTAATAATAAAGGTGGGATAAAAAGAAATCAAGATTCCAGTCATTGCTTGTTTTCCTGATATTCCTTATCTTATTCTCCCTTGTAACATTTTTTTTTTAAAAATGTCCCCACGTATCTTCAACCCTTTCTTTGTGTATTGGTATTTTGTCACCTGAGCATACTAAGTCAACATTGGGAAGGGAATTATTTTATAGGGTATGAGTGTGCATAGGTGTGCCATGCAAAGCTGTTCTAGATTCCCTGGTGATGATAGTGGGTGAGGCTATTTGAACTACATATAAATTTTTTCTAGAAGGTAGATGTATGTGATTTGCCCACTTTAGAGAAAATATTATAGAGTGAAATGCATTTGGTCAGGATTTCAGACATTATATTCTCCTCTCATGTCTCAATTTTCTGATCCCTCTTTTCAACAGTCGATAAATATTAGTAATTGAGAACATTTTTAAAATATGTTGGCAGGATCTTTACTAATAATTCATACTGGTAGTCCATTGTAGAGTCATCACTGTATGATAAAACCACAATGACGACAGAGTTTATATCACAATGATGGCTGATGGTTCATGTTTGAAGATACTGTAAACCAAAGTTAGAAATCCAGCAATGGAGTAATAAAATATATTTTATTCTGTTTATTCATTTGCTGAAGTGTTTAGTTGAAATCTTTTCTTCAGTTGCATCACACAACTTTAAGTACTGAAGCATTTCCCTTTATTTCACTGAATTGTTTGACATTTTTAAAATGGGAAATGTAACTAAGGACAAATTTACTATGAGAATTTCTATTAGTGTTTTTTAGAATTGTTAAGAGTTAGTTTTTCATTAGTTTGCACATTAGGAGAATATGTGAATAAAAAACTCAATAAAACCATCAACATATTAAAAACAGAATACAAAATTCAGAAGCAACAGTGTTCTTTGACATTTCCTTAGTTTTTCATAATAAATAAGATGTACACTTAAAGATTCAGTACTTATTTAACATAGATCAACAGAATTATGTGGTATGAGTTTTAGTGGAGTTTTCCAGCTTATTTAAGAAATATTCTACAGAATATTCTTCATATGCAATTTGTCATTGCATTGATAATCACAGTAATAATGGAAGGTTCACCTGATTGGTTAAGAGAAATCTGACTGACTGGCTCTAACAGTAATGATATACAAGTAATGATATATTTATGTCTTCTAGCAGATCACATTGTTTAGCTTCTCAGTGAAATATTAAAAATGTTGCAGGGACCACATGTTTTATCAGAGAGAGACTGCATATAATCTCTGGACTGTTCACTCCTCTTCATGATTTTGGCTTTATTATTTTGAGAATAAAAATATCTGGTTGCCAAGACCAAATTAACTGAAAATTTGAGCTAAAAGTAGCATGGAACCTTAATTACTCTGACTTGATCAGTACTGGCATTGTAGGTGAGGCTATACAGTTATTTTAGATGGGCAACAGGAAAAAAATAACAAACTTTTGAAATGTTCCCAAGGCCACCTCTACTATAACTGGTAACAATTTGACACCAAATTGTTATTTGTCACCTAATTTCAGTAGAAAACCAAGCCACTGCAATTTAGTGGCATGACGAAAAGGGGATTGTTAAAGAGTTGGTTTGGTTGCTAAAAGAGTTGGTTTGATACTTTATCACAAGAAACAATAAGTCTCAATACAGAACATCATCCTCCCTGATAAGACCCAAAATGTTTTGGTTGGAAGCCTCTTGAACCAAAAAGCTAGCCTAAAAAAGTGGTCAAATGGCTTTGATGTTGTCATAATAATTGAATGTTAGCCATGTTTCATTTGGCAACTATAAGACTTGTTGACTTGAACTCCCAGAATTCCTCAGCCAGCCAATTTTGGAGACCCCAGCCTTAAAGTGATGTCTCCAGGATTACATCATCAATAAAGACATAGAACATACTGGTTTCTTGAAAGATGGCTAGCTGTGCTCTTTTAAATCATCAGTGGATAATCAATGTTGCATTTTTTTTCAATTCTTTCCATGTACACTTTGCTTTAAATGTCTCTAGGATTATATCATAAATAAAGAAATAGAGAATAGTGGTTCCTTAGAAGACGGTTAACTGGGCTCCTGTAAACTCATCTTAAATCCTGCTGGTGTGAATACAAAACTAAAAAAAATAATAATGACAATTTAATTGCCATCTTCTGCTAAAAAGTATTACAGCCACATGAACGGAACAAAAATTCATCCATATCGAATATATTTTAATGTCAAAGAACTCCATAAAAGTAGCACTGATGGGGTTTACCTCCTCCTTTTTATCTTCACAGCAATCTTGTGAGGGAGGTGGCACTGAAGTGAACTTTATGGCTAAATGGGAATACAGTCTAATCATTCTTCAATTCATAACTGTAACTCATTGGACACTTTCCAAATATATGATCCTCAGTTCCCAGAATACCCTCCCAGATAAGTGCTCTGGACTTGAAATCCATACATCTGAAGACTTCGGGTTGGTGAAGGCCACAGTAACGATTAGTGTTTTGTAAGAATTATGCTGGGTTTAGTTGTATTTTTGCTGGAGAATGCATGGACATGTATGTAATATTTCCAGAACAGGGTTTGAATGGAGGAAGCATTTCTCCACTAAGGCACTAGGTACCATTTACGGATTTTTATATCACCATTTCTGTCTCTACCCCTGTCTCCCCAAGTCATTTTTTTTAAGAGACCAAATCCAATAAACTACAAATCTACTGTATAATCAACCGACTTCAGATTTCTACATTAAGAATAATTGATTCACCTGTGGAAAATGCCAAGGCGGTTGCGGATATGGAGGAAAGCCCTGGAAAAGAAAAGGAACCAGTTGTTATGTATTTACAACATAAAAATAATTGTACTATCACTATGTGATGAGTGCAGCACAGTAACCTTTTGAGGCAGCTGTGGGTTAATGAAATGTCTACAAAGTATTTCTGTTCCGGTACTTAATTCTAAATAGTATGGGCAGTGCACCAAAGCTACACGATATTTACTTCCAGGCAATAGGTGCCATTTAAGCTGATGGAACTTTGCTCCTGAAAAGACACCAAAAGATTGCAGTGTGTGTGTGATTTACAACATGAGGACTTGGAGCTGAACACATGAATAGTATAGTGACAACTCTATTAGGTTATAACCTGAAAATCCAAATGGAACTAGGTAACTGTGATATTTGTTAAGTGAACAAGCCTTGGTAAGACCACACTTGGAATATTGTATCCAGTTTTGGTCACCACAATATAAAAAAGATATTGAGATTCTGGAAAGAGTGCAGAAAAGAGCAACAAAGATGAATAGGGAGCAAAAACATATGAAGAATGGGTGTAGGAATTGGGTAAGTTTAGTCTAGTGAAAAGAAGTAAGCTGATATTTGAGGGGCTGCCACAAAGAAGAGGGTGTCATCCTATTTTCCAAGGCACCAAAAAACAGGAAGCAATGGTTGGAAACTATCCAAAAAGAGAAGCAACCTAGAACTAAGGAGAAATTTCCTGATAGTGAGAACAATAAACCTGTGGAATGGCTTGCCTTCAGGAGTTGTGGGTGCTCCATCAGTAGAGACTGGACAGCCATTTGTTTGAAATGGTGTAGAGTCTCCTGCTTGAGCATGGGGTTGGATTAGACCTCCAAGATCCCTTCTAACTCTGCTATTCTACTATGTATCTGCAAACTTCCCTTCAATGCATCTTATTTTATTTTTATGCAGCTACTGCATGTACATATTCTAATGGAGTTTCCCAGAAAACTAATTAAATAACACAATAAATGTTTAGAAAATAAATAGTGCCAATCAGCTCCAAGATTAAAATAAGTTCCCAGAGTGGTACCTGTTTTAATCCAACACAATGCCTTGTGTAGAGCAGCTTAGTGATCTTTTACAAATGTATGTTTGATTTTTGACCATAAACAAATGTCACATGTATTATCTATTATGCAGCTAAGTCAACCAAGAGATTTGTTGCTTCTTACAAACTAATAAATTTATTTGACATAAACTTTTGTGGAATCCATCTGAGAAGATACATGCAGTATTGAGGCAATTCACTATTGAGTAAATATTATATTCTGAGAAACATCTGAGACAGGTTTTTATCACACTATGTGCTTGTGTCTCTGTGTTATATAAACACAGAAATATGTTAATTATATTTTGGCCAGTATCAGCTGGGTTTGTACACAAAGTAGAACATAAACTTAGTTGACAAATCATGGCTGATAATTTAGCAAACTAAATTAAGGCAAAATCAAATAACCTGTTGCAGTTTGGTACAAATTATGAACCAACTGAACTCAACTAATGAACAGAGAAAACTTTTTCTCCTCTCCTAATCTCTTTCTTGCTCTTCTCTTTCTCCAAATCCTCTATCCCAACCTGGTAACTTTATTTCTCCAGAATAATAACTCTTAGTTTTATTTGATGCCTTCAGGATTCTACAATTAGCAGTAGCAATAGCACTTATATACTGCTTCATAGTGCTTTACAGCCCTCTCTAAGCAGTTTACAGAGTCAGTGTTTTTCCCTCAACAATCTGGGTCCTCATTTTACTGACCTTGGAAGGATGGAAGACTGAGTCAACCTTGAGCCAGTGAGAAATGAACTCCTGGCAATGGTAATGCAGAGTTAGCTTACAATACTAACCACTGCACACCATGGATCTGATAATAATCTCAAACCTACTCATTTACCTGAGGCTGTTGCTGTTTTCCCTCCTTAGGATGCTGAAAGGGCACTTGTGGGTAAGTCTGAGATGGGTTGGTTTTTTCTGGCTGTTTTGGCAGAGGTTGTGGCTGCTGATATCTTGGTTGCTGTGGTGGTAACTGGGGCCTTTGATTGGGCTGCTTAGTTCCTGGAATTTGTTGCGGCTTCTGCTGGGGAAGCCTAGAAGCTTGATGTGCTGGTGTTGTTGATTGCGGCCAGAGGAAAAATCTCTGCAGAGGCAATATAGGCCACTGGGAAAACATCTGTGGGTAACCTGAAGGGTAGCCATAAAAGGAACCAGCAACCTGAAATAGAAGTTTTTTTAAAATTAGTGTATAGTTTCAGCACATAGGAATCAAATGTTTGATGTTATAACTTGTTGCTCTTCTACTGTAGTTGATTTTTGCAACACTGAGAGATTACAGATACACTTATATATTTTGCATGGCAAAAACGAACACAGATTTGGGGCTCCTACATATCAACTTCTATGAGTCAGCGGTGTGCTGCAGCTGTCAAAAAAGCAAATGCCATCCTAGGCCGCATTAACAGAGGGATAGAATCAAGATCACATGAAGTATTAATACTGATTTATAATGCTTTGGTAAGACCATACATGGAATATTGCATCTGGTTTTGGTTACCATGATGTAAAAATGATGTAGAGTCTGTGGAAAGAGTGCAGAAAAGAACAAGAAAGACTATTAAGGTCCTGGAGGATAAAATATACGAAGAACCGTTGCAGGAATTGGATATGTCTAGTTTAATGAAAAGAAGGGCTAAGGGTGACATGATACCAGTGTTCCAATAGCTGAGGGGCTGCCAGAAAGAAGAGGGAGTCAATCTTTCCAAAGCACCTGAAGGCAGGACAAGAAGCAATGGATGGAAACTAATCAAGGAGAAAACCAACCTAAAACCAAGGAGAAATTTCCTTAAGTTAAAACAATTAATCAGTGGAACAACTTGCCTCCAGAAGTTGTGTGTGCTCCAACACTGGAGGTTTTTAAGAAGAGATTGGATAACCATTTGTCTGAAATGTTATCGGGATTTTCTGCTTGAGCAAGGTCCTTTCTAACTCTGTATATTCTGCTATTCTGTCTGGTTTGACCCACTTTGGAGTCGTTTCTCAACTTCTACTCTTGCGTGATATGAACTGACTTTGGAATCCCCTTGAATATCACTGTCCTCTTATTTTGGCTGTGTCTATTCCACTGTTTCAATAACATGCACATGTGGCTGAAACTATTGAGTAAAGTGCTGGTTACAAAACCGTCAGCATACGATGCTGTCACCATCACAATTTGTGAGGAAGGATGGCTTGGTGGTTTTGTACCTTTCTTAGTAACCCTCATATTTCCTGGAATATAGAAAGGAGCTGCAGTTTATTTGTTTTCTTTGTGGATGAAGTGGGGATAAGGAGATTTCTGTTATTACAGGAGCCATGCCTGTTTAGGAGACAGAGTGGTGGCTGAATGCCATTTTTATTTCTTCTCATTGTTTAGCTGGAGGGAGCATTGATGGGCTTCTGGTAAGCAAGTTCTCAGCACTTAAAGGTCAACATAACTGAATGTGATCAGAGAGCAATTTTGATATGTGCCTTGGAGGGTTTAGGGACAAAAATTGGGGTGATCTGTAAATATACTCTTTAACAATAACTATCCAAGAATTTAGATAGTGTCTCAAGATTCTTCTATCCAAAGGCTTCCTGGAGGGGATAACCACAAACTGAGAATATTTGAATTATATCTTAAAAGCACTTTCTAAAATAATTTTTAAAAATGATACCATTGGCATTGTTTTGTTATTTATAATAATTAATCCAATTTATAACCCAACTGATTTTTAAAAACCCTAGGTGGCTAGCAAATGAAAGAAAATTAGAAATTAATCCAATTTCTAAGCCATCTGACACCTTGAAAACCCTTGTGGCTAGCAAGTTAAAGGGAAAAAACAAGCATAAAAGAAGAGAATATGGTTGATGAATTTCACGGAAATAATATCACTGCTTAATATTTCTGTTGTCAACGCTGCTAATATCAGATGTTCTTGCTTTGACAACAGATGGAAATACAGCCATTTTCTCTATTGCTTTTAGAACCTTGCTGTTGGGAGGGGGAATAGGGATGAGAGTCCAGCTAGTCATAACAATAATAACTTAGTCATGGGAACCCAAGGACATTGGGCCCAGAACTGATAGTGTTTTGGCGGGCTGGAGAGCTGGGGAGAAAGCCCACACTCCAAGCTAATTGGGGAATGTGATTTATGACTGTTTATTGGAGGAGGGAATTGCACTTTGTTACTTTGTATACAGGGGAGAGGAATTTAGTTTCTGGTTTCAACTATGTAGTGCTGATACTTTGTTTCTCAAATAAAAGATTCTTTAAGGTAAACAATGCCTCAAAGTTCTTTTGAAGAGTTTTATCTGTCGGAACCATGACATCTATTGCATGAATTTTTCAGTAGATATTGCAACATTTAGACAGGTATGCTTATAACTATAAAAGCACTACATTGCCTGGAAGAAATCTAACATTTTCCAAGGTGGAAAACACAACTCACACTGCAAAATGTGAGTTCTGCTCAGAAGGGAAGCATATTTTTTGGAAGAGATGGGTTGTGTGGAAGCCCACAAAATGTAGTATGAAATTTTAATCAGTATTCTCAGTAAGGACTCTAAGTAGATTCCTCCTGAACATGTTAGCATTGAAAGTTATAAGAACATCTGCAAAATGTTATTATATCTTTGAATTAATCCACAAATAGCAAGCTGATAGTACATGTTGTACTGAATGTACTTTTCAATGGACAGATATTTTCTATGGGTTTAAGACTAGAGACTTTCCAAGAGGCCTTTTAATTTTGAGACATCATTCAATAACCCAGATCAGGAGAAAAATTTTGATTGAAGCTTACATATATACTACTACTATTACTACTACTACTACTACTACTACTACTACTACTACTACTAATAATAATAATAATAATAATAATAATAATAATAATACCCCAGTGAGGCACTACCTTGATGTGGTTGTGGGGCTTGTGTACTCTGAGGAAGATGAGAGCTATGCCAGAGGTTTAACCATACTGGACAGGTCTCATCAGAAGAGTCAGACAAAGAGTGTCTCTCCCATAAAAAATATGGTTAGATGTAAATTTCAGAAAGCCATACTGGCTCGGATGTCACCTGGGTTAACAAGGCCCGCGCTAGATGTTGGAGTTCCTGGATATCTGGTGAAAAATGGGTTACAGGACTCAGGACTGTTGGCTGAGCAGCCAGGGCCAGCAACTGCAGAACTACTGGAAGAAAAGGTGTTTACCCATTGCAAATATACAGTGATTGAAAACAAAGAAATAATGATCTGTTACTACAGATCAAGTCCAACAAGAAGAGGATATCTAAAACGAATGCACCAGTTCTGAAAGAACAACATCCAGAATCAGAAATAACAGAACAGAGACTAGCAGATCAACGCCGATTTATAATAAGAAATAAAGTATTCACAGAAACAGAATTGGGCGAACTGCAAAGGTTTATCCAAGGCAAAGAAATCAAAGCTTTGCCAGAAGTAATTCAGAATGTAGAGGCAAACCAGGGGGAGTTGGCAGTGAAGGAATCCAGCAGAGATATACAACTATTTTCATTTGGAAACCGGACATCTCTTCCTCAGGAAGAACAAAACCCTCTAACTAAAGAAATAAAAGAATTGAAACAAAGAATAACTGAGCATCTAGAACAGCACAAAAACAACAGAATAAGGCTGACTGCATTGAAGCTTGTTCAAAGAAACAGCTAGCACAAGCATTAAAAGATGCAAATACTGCAATATCAAGTTTAAGCACTAATTCACTGCAAGAAACAAACAACTAATGTACAGCACACAGCTGCAGTTATAACTGAATACCTGGGATGCAAAATCAGCAAAGAAGAAAAACAAATAAACAGTGCACAACAAAAATGGAAGAAAATAAGATCAGCAAGTTAGGATCATATGCAAGCAAGCTAGAACAGATGAAAGAAAAGAAGCTGAAGAACAAGAAGACCAAAGAATACCTAATCAAGAAATATCACTTAGAAACAAGGAAGATCAAGGAAGCACTGGAAATAATAAAGCAGCAAATAACAGCTATAGCCAGGAAAATCAACAGATACAAAGTTCAAATTGCAAATTATAGGCAGAAGCTCCAATTTCAATCCAATCAGAAACATTTCTACCAATCCATCAATGGAGAAACTGCAAGGAATCAGTCAGTACCTGACAAGGAAGAAACAGTGCAGTTCTGGAAGCAGATATGGGATAACCCAAAGAAATACAACCAGGATGCGGCTTGGTTAAAAGAGGTGGATGCAAATAAAACAGAAGTTGAAATGAAATAACTAGTAATAATAACAAAAATGATAGAAAAAAGAGCAAGGAAGATCAAAAATTGGTCAGCACCAGGTGAAGATGAACTGCATGAGTTTTGGTTGAAACATCTAACTGTTATATACCCACTCATTGCCAAGCAGTTCAACAATATACTACAAGGAGGAGAAATTGAAAAGTGGCTAACAACTGGGAAAACCTACCTAATAATGAAAAATCTAACAAAAGGGGCAATACCAGGCAACTACAGGCCAATTACCTGCTTATCAACAACTTTCAAATTGCTAACTGGTGTGGTAGCTGATGCAGTACAGCAGCATCTAGTTGAAAACAATCTCTTTCCACCCGATCAGAAAGGAAACTGCCCCAATAGCAGAGGAACAAAAGATCAACTCCAAATAGACAAAATGATCTTGGAAAACTGCAAGAAAAAGAAGACCAACCTGAATGTGGTATGGATTGACTACAAAAAGGCATTTGACTCTCTGCCACCTGACTGGATAATCAAATGCCTAGAAATAACAGGAGTCAGTAGAAACATCAGAAAATTTGTGCAAAGATCGATAGCACAATGAAAGACCCAGTTGCAAGTCAATGGTGAGAGACTGAGAGAGGTTAATATCAAGAGAGGAATATTTCAAAGAGATTCATTATCACCACTACTATTTGTAGTGCAGCAATAACAATACTGAATAACTCAGGACATAGCTATCAAACTCAAAAACATCTGCCAGACTATCCCACCTCCTTTACATGGATGATCTGACGCTGTATGGAAAAATATCATCTGAAATAGAATCGCTGCTCAACACTGTCTGTATATATAGGCAAGATATTGTTATGGAGTTTGGCTTGGACAAATGTGTCACACTTACTATCAAACAATGAAAAATAGTGAACATTGAAGGAATCCAGATGCCCCGTGAAAATACCATTAAGAGTCTGGATGAGGAAGCTTACTGCAAATACTTGGGTATCCTTCAAGCTGACAACATCAAGCACACTGAAGTCAAGAAAAAAAATAGAGGTGAATACATCAAGAGAGTGAAGAAGATGTTAAATTCCAAATTCAGTGGAGGAAATACCATAAAGGCAATCAACACCTGGGCAATTCCAGTCATTAGATACACAGCTGGAATAGTGGACTGGACTCAAGCAGAATTAAAAGCAATGGATAGGAAGACCAGAAAAATAACGACAATGATTCATGCCCTTCATCCACGCAGTGACATTGACAGACTCTATCTACCAAGGCAAATAGGTGGGTGTGGAATGCTGCAAGTACATCAGATGGTTGAAGAAGAAAAAAATGGCTTTGGAAGACTAGCTGAAGGACAACGATGAAGATGCACTGAAATTAGTATATCAGGAAGGCTTACTGACTACTGGAGAGACCAAACTGGCCTACAAGAAAGATCAAATGAAGAACAGAATAGAGGCATGGGAAGACAAAGCACTACATGGCCAGTACATTAAAAAAAATACCTGGGAAATCAGATAATAGCAAGACCTGGCAATGGCTAACAGCAGGAAAATTGAAGAAAGAGACTGAGAAACTAATTCTGGCCACACAAGACCAAGCCTTAAGGACAAATGTATACAAAGTCAAAATTGAGAAGATAGCAACAGACAGTAAGTGGCGCCTATGCAAAGAAGCTGAAGAAACAGTGGACCACCTGGTAAGCTGCTGCAAGAAGATCGCACAGACTGACTACAAGCAGTGGCATGACAAAGTAGCAACAATGATGCATTGGAAGATCTGTAAGAAATATCATTTGCCTGTAAGCAAGAACTGGTGGGATCATAAAATAGAGAAAGTCATAGAAAATGGTAAAATTAAACTGCTCTGGGACTTCAAAATTCAAACAGACAAGCACCTGCAACATAACACCCCGGACTTAACAATTGTCAATAAGAAAGACAAAAAAGTCTGTATAGTGGACGTGGCAGTGCCTGGAGACAGCAGAAAAGATGAGAAAGAACTGGAGAGGATAACATAATGCAAAGACCTACAAATAGAAATAGAAAGACTGTGGCAAACGCAAGCAAGAGTAGTACTAATAGTACTAGGGCCTTGGGTGCAATCCCAAAAGAATTGGAGCACCACTTGAACACCATTGGTATTGACAAATTCGCCATTAGTCAATTGGAAAAAGCGGCCTTACTAGGAACTGCTTCCATCCTGCAATGATATCTGTAATACCATCAAACATCCACATCTGCCTATCCCAGGTTCTTGGGAAGGACTCGATAGGTAGACAAAAATGCCAAATCCAGTCTGAACATCTGGTTGACTGTGCGATGATCAATAATAACAATAACAACAACAACAACAATAATAATAATAATAATATAGAGAAAGTCATAGAAAATAATAAAATTAAACTGCTCTGGGACTTCAGAATTCAAACAGACAAGCACCTGCAACATAACACCCCAGACTTAACAATTGTCAATAAGAAAGACAAAAAAGTCTGGATAGTGGACGTGGCAGTGCCTGGAGACAGCAGAATAGACGAGAAAGAACTGGAGAAGATAACAAAATACAAAGACCTACAAATAGAAATAGAAAGACTGTGGCAAAAGCAAGCAAGGGTAGTACCAATAGTCATAGGCTCCTTGGGTGCAATCCCAAAACAACTGGAGCACCACTTGAACACCATTGGCATTGACAAATTCGCTATTAGTCAATTGCAAAAGGCAGCCTTCCTAGGAAGTGCTTCCATCCTGCGACGATATCTGTAATACCATCAAACATCCACATCTGCCTATCCTAGGTTCTGGGTAAGGACTCGATAGGTAGACAAAATGCCAAATCCAGTCTGAACATCTGGCTGATTGTGCGATAATCAATAATAATAATAATAATAATAATAATAATAATAATAATAATAATAATAATAATAATAATGGAAGGGACCTTGGAGGTCTTTTAGTTCAGCCCCCTGCTCAGGCAGGAATGTTTGAATGCTTTCTACTGGATTTAAAATAGTAAACATGTTACCAAGTTAGAACTAGAATTGATTTTAGGACAGTGGAGGCAGGTAATATCTTAGTGATTAGATGCATATTTTATTATTCAGCAGCAAGTACCAGCACTGTTTAAAACTGATGTAGTGATATTACTGGAGGACATTTAACCTGTATTTTTTTCCTAGAAATTTGGACTTATGTTTAGAGTACTTCGTTTAGAGTTTCATCCTCACATTTTGCTGCTCATGGTTGCAAAGAAGATGCCTTTCTAACCATTTTTAGGAGACAAATCCTCCCGCTGTACAACATTCACTTGCAGCACCTGCTCTCAAAAACCTAATTAGGATCACAGTTGGTTAGTAGGATTGTAAGTTTAAAAAACATTCTCTGGGACGTTTCTTTAATAAGATTCGGTCAGTGTTAGTGATTCCTGTCCTTTCTGATGTATCTTCTGAATTAAATCCAAAGCATTGAGCAACCCTTTTTGATTAGCATCTGGACAGGAGGCGAAGAAACTTCAAGGTTGTATGTGGGCAGAAAGGTTGATATGGAAGGCAATGGGAAATCACTTTCATATTATTGCAATGAAAACTACAGGGGCATGACCAACTGAGGTTGGCTCAAAGGAGAATTTATGCTGGTACAAGTAGAATGTTATGTCAGATCATATTTCTATGTCTGTCATGCTTCAGAAAAGCTGCTTTATAATTTGGCCTTTATTATACTCCTTTTAAAGCCGAAATATTGTTTTCAGCTACTTTTGTTTATGTTCCTTGCCTCAGAGGATATGAAGAACTGGCATATTCTAGTATAAAATAAAGTTAAAAGTAAATAAAACCTGATAAGACCAATATCATATTCTTCCTATTTTCATATTGAGTGAGCTGGAAGCTTCTTAGCAGTGATAGATTTCTCTCCAATTCTTACAGTAACTTTTCAAAAAGTAATACATTTACATTTAAATTTCAAGATTCATTTATATTTACTGCACATTTAATTGTGTATAAGAATGCTGGTCTTCCAAGAAGAAGAAGAAAAAGACTTACTTGTGGTGAATTTATATAGCCATATGGACCAAACTGCATCATCTGTAAGTAAACACATTTATTATAATGTGTCTTCTGGGTAAATAAGAAAATCGTTCATTAGACTGAACTACTAATGGATGTAATAGATGGGAAAGGAAACCCTCAAGAATACTATCTTCAAGTCTCAGAGAAAAGATGTAAAGAAAATGCAAAAATTAAACCAATTACAGCTGTGATTACAACAGGTTTAGTTGATTTTTCCTGTAACTAATACATGAGTCCTTTAACAAATGTTGATTTGATTATATTACCAGCATCTTAGCAAGAGCAATAACATTTAGACTTATATACTGCTTTGCAGTGCTTTACACCCCTTTCTAAGTGGTTTACAGAGTCAGGATATTGTCCCCCGACAATCTGGATCCTTATTTTACCAATCTCAGAAGGATGGAAGGCAGAGTCAACTTTGAGCCGGTCAGGATCAAACTGCTGGCAGTTGGCAGAATTAGCTTGCATTACTGTATTTTAACCACGGTACCATCTTGCCTCTTATCATTTAATTAAAGTGTGACTAGCTGAGGAATTCTGAAAGTCCACACATCTTAAAGTCTCCAAGTTGGAGAAACACTTCAGGACTATCACCCTCAGGGCTGGGAATAAAATTTATCATTGTCCATTCAAGTCTGCAAGTTCTACAGTATTTCAGAATAGTCCAGTTGGCTCAAGGTTGAAAAAACATGAAATCACAGTCTTAAACATAACCACCCAGAAATAATCCTAATTCATCCAGTTTTTTCCTCTTAAAGGAAAAGGATGCTTTCCGAATATATCAAAGTTTTATTTTGGGTTTTAAGTACGTAAAAAGGTGTGTTGGCTCATCCTCAGCTAGATTATTTATATATCTAAATGGGTTTTATTTCCTATGAGTTTTCTCTCCATAATTTTACCTGTGCTAGATAGTGACCTCTGAGTCTTCTGAAGGCAAAATATGTCCTTCCCCTTTGTCCTTCCCCTTTGAGTTTGCATACTTTATGATCTTCAAGATAGATAGTAACTCTGATCCTCCATAACTTGATTAAGTGATGGAAGAGAAGTTAACCTGCAGGGTTAGGGGTCATTTTTGCTTGAATTAATAAATCTAAGGCCTCCTTTTCAGGAAAAAAATGGAAAATGTACTTACTTCTTCACTTTTGCTTCCATATCCTGCCCTGCGTGGTTTGCGCAGCTAGAGAGAAGAAAGAGACAGATGGATGACTGAATTATCACAAGGAAAGAATTAAAAAATGAAATGCAATAAGTTGTCTGGTTCTGAAATACTCACCGGACCAGCATAAGATATGCCCACAAGGCATAAATATAGGAGGATTAACTTCATCCTTCAACTTCTCCACTAAGTAGAGATAAAATACAACCAGCAGTCCATTACATACTTATTTTAGCATAGCGGTTTTAGAGATCAAATCAGGAAAGAGTATCTTCACATATTCCTCATGTTATCATGAGAGATGTCAATGTGCTTGAAATGATCACTGGAAAAAATTTTTTAATTTTTCTCACCAGTGCAAAGCAACCACAGTTGACTTGGTGAACTAGGAAACCAATTATGTATTTATTGTGAAAAACTAAACTTACCACAGTAAGAAAACCCCAAAGGTTCCTCAGCTATAACTTCTGCTGACACAACACTTGAACTGCAACCTAACACACCAAGGTATTAACTTGGTGATATCCTATACCACTTCTGGATGTTTCTTAGATCAACTTCAAAACCTTCAAAATTATTGATTCTTCAGTAGTCCCAGGGCCTTTCCTTCGCTTTCCAGATGTTTGCGTGAATGGATATTTATCTCTTTGACACAAAAACAGATCCTTTTTTTTCCTCTTTTTCCCTGATTGTATCATTGTTGCTGTGATATTATGGTATCAAAGCTATAGGACACAGGTTGTTCTCTTCTTCCTATTTTTTCAAGGTAGGTCAATAGAAACTTTGTAGCAAGGAAGAACTAATATTTCATTTCTATAGAAACGAAGTAGCAGTGCACCTAAAAGGCACAAAAGTCTTCACTTAAAGACTTTTATGGGAAAGAGAAGGGAAACTATGTAGTGCTCTGAATGGTGATTGGGGTGAGGGTTGGGGTTGAGGAAGCATACATCATCCAGATTGGATAAAAACAAAAAGTGGGAGATGTAAGGGTTAAACGGAGAATGAGTTTCTAGAATTGTGGAGAGTTCATTGACTTAACAAGACATTATTATATCAACCACAAAAATCACCTGTTGTGTTTTTTTTAAAGAAAAAGAAAAATCAACTGCTGACTAATAGCTGCCCAAAGCAGCAACCAGTTACTGGCAGAAATGAAGCAAGACATTGCAGCCAATCAGATCAAGGCATGGATGGGTGGGTGGGGCTAATATCAGAATGAAAGAGTTGGAAATCATTCACTGTAAAGGCCTTAGGGAGAGCTTATTTGGTGTCATAATAAAGGCACTAGGCCAGGGGTAGGCAACCTTGGCTCTTTTATGACTCGTGGACTTCAACTCCTAGAATTCCTGAGCCAGCATGGGAGTTGAAGTCCACGAGTCATAAAAGAGCCAAGGCTGCCTACCCCTACATTAGGCTAAAAACTGGGAGACCTGAGTCCTGCCATAGTCACAAAGCCAGCGGGGTAACCTTGGGTTAGTCACTCTCAGTCATAGGATGAAGACAATGGCAAATGCAAACCACTCAGAAGTCTTGCCAAGAAAACTGCAGGGACCAATGCAGGCAGTCACCAGATGCCAACACTGACTCAAAGAGACAACAACAACAACAAAAAAGGCTCAGGTAAGAAAGTTGCAAATTTTAATCGAATCTGGAAAACACAGCTGGAGAATGAATTTGAAACTATCTCAGAGTGAAAGTGAAAGGACATTGTTATCCATTCCTGCATTCAGGGAGCAGAGAATACAGTAACTCCGTAGTAGCAAGGGGTCACTTTGCTACAAAGTGTGTTACCTTCTATACAAAGATTTAATCAGGTCGTTTTTTAATACAAAATGCCAGGGAAAGCACAAAGATCATGGCTTCTTTCCAACCCCTTAATAGTAGCTACACTCTGGGTCATGTGACCAGAAGGGAGGAGATGGGAGCTTAACAATGAGGGTGGAGGAAGACTGGGGGAATTTCTCTTCCTCTCCATATGCTGGGGCCTGATCCAATGTTGATTTCCTTATGTTGGCTTGTTCTGCCATACCCCATTTGGTCGTATTCATTTTTTTAGAAGGTTGTCCTGCTGACGAAGAAACCTTTCCAACTTCCTGTTGGTTTGGAAGGAAGGAATTAAAAAGAGTAAATATAAACACTGCTGTGTACCTAATTTATATGGGACCTATTTGCATAAAATTCAGTTTGCATTTGACCAAGAAATATTTTACCTCTAATATTTCTCTGTCTTTGACAGAGTTATAGCTCATGTAAGAGCACCAAACAAAAGTAATATGAACTGAACTATAATTAGGGGGATATGGAGTTCCTTTTATTATGGTTGCTTTGAACAAATACCACCTTATGTTGCTACTCATTGTGTTTTTAACCCTAACCTTTACAAGAAGCTCAGCACACATGCGTGTAACAAGAAACCTGGAATTGTGTATTTTATTCCAATCTTCAACTTCTGCTTGCTCAGTGGAAAAACTGAATGGAAGCTTCCATGCATCCACCTTAATATATTTGGTTTCCTAGGACTTCTAGTCTGTCATGGACAAATAGAAAAAGGTACTTCCAGGGTGATAACATGGGTTTTTCATCCTATTTTCCATAGTGTCCTGCCAAGTACTGAATGTCTATCACAATGAGTATTTAGATATGGCAATATAAACCCCAGAAAATAAGCTTTTCCTAATGTTAAAAAAGAAAATTGAACATAGTGGTATAAACTAAGGGTCAGCAAACTATGCCCCATGGGAGAAATCCACCTGTTTTATATGGCTATGAATGGATGGGCAGGCAGTAGGCAAAGGACAGGGCCAAAGATCAGGGAAAGCACAACTTGAGTGGATGTGGCAACCTATCAGCAACCTCCTTACTGGAGTCCAGTACTATCCAATGGCTGCCACACTTCTTAAGACCTGCCAGCTGCACCCGTAAGATTGAGATCTGGCCCTTTAGAGAAAAAGTTTGCCATTACACTTTGATTTAATCCAGTTGAGTTGTACTTCAGGAGATCTGGTAGTTGCTAGGCTTGGGAATCTATGTCTAAGACTGGATGGATGGATGGATGGATGGATAGCCAAAAGTTGAGCAGACCAACCAGAATGCGTCAAGGGAATGGGGAAAAATGGGGCTTAGGAGTTACAGACATTACCCATGAAATCTGCAGTTTAGAATGACTAGCAATAAAAAGATATGAGCATACCTGCTAGTGACTCTGTTTTGCAAGTGTTTCCACCTTCACCAAGAGGCTACCACATTACATTAGGCAAGAAGGATCTCTCTAGGGCTAGATAGCAACAGCAAGAAATTATTGTATTTTCAGTTGGGATATTCAAGGCAACAAAGCTTTTTTTATTGATTCATTATCTCAGTTTATTTAGCTGTCCATCTCAAGAACATGACTCTGGGAAGCTCACAACAATTAAAAATATATAAAAACAATTATAACACACACACATACACACAAACAGTATAGAAACATTATTTCAAAAACCCTATATCCTGAGGTATAAGGTATGCCCATAACAATCGACAAAGCCACTGACCAGGCTGTATGTACATAAGCTCAATATAGATATTATGCATTTTTTCAGTGGAATTGGAAACATGCCTTGTCCAGAAATGTCCCAATAAGTGGAACAAATTAGTTATGTCAGTTATTTTCAGTTTAATTGTAACCATGTACAGTATACATGTTTGCAGTGTAGAAATTATGAGGGAAAATCCCTGTCGTTTCAACTGTGCCATGTTGATAGATACTTCTGTTCCCAAAGTCTATTAGATTATGGCAGCATCTAGTTGAGCTTGGCTGATTTTGAAAAGTTAAGCAGAGTTGGACTTGTCTAATACTTAGGACAGGGGTAGGCAACCTTGGCTCTTTTATGCTTGCTCATGAATTCTGGGAGTTGAAGTCCACGAGTCATAAAAGAGCCAAGATTGCCTACCCCTGACTTAGGACATTACTAAAAAATTCAAAGGTTAGTTGTTAGACTGGAACACCCAAAAAACCCATCACTGGACACTTCCCTGTTGCTGCCAAGAGAACCATATTGAGGTCAACTTGAGTCAATCTTTATCTTGAACTCCTCACCATGGAAAAGTCTCTCCTGAATCCACAGAACTTTCATGGTTGCAAGTTTTAAAGAAAAAGCAAATTAAAAGTGAAGCCTAAACTTTGCCTTATGTCCATCTTCCACTTTAACTAAAAATGATGCCCCCAATAGTTACAGCAACACTCTACCCCTCTGCCATATTATTAATCACAACAATATGAAATCAGAGCTGCCAGTTCTTTAGTGGGTTTTGGCTTTTATACAAATCAAGTTCTTCCCAAGAACCTAGGGTGTCATCATGTGTTGACCTAACATATATGCAGATCCAAGCAGTTGGCCTTTTGTAATTGACAGGTGGAAATTTTGTCAAAGGGCAGATTTTCTAAGTGCCATTCAAGATTTTTTTGGGATGGTACCCAGTTTGTTGATAATCATTAGAACCACCATGAGTGGTTTATGCCATAATTTTCAACTTAAATTTTCAGATCTTGATAGTTGATCTTCTTGATCAAGTATCTTCTTGAGCTTGATCTTCTCTAATTCTTTGTCTTCTTTTCTGCTATCCCTTACCCACACTTATTATTTCATCTGAAAAGTCTAACCATCCTCTTTTAAAGCAAAGATTTCTTCCTGGTATTTCAGTTATAGATCTTCAGTTTGTAATTTTTGAAACAATTTATTTACCGTAAACATGATTTCTGGAATCAGAATAAATTGTATAGAGATTATAACTATCAAATGCATAGATTCTGCAGATGTCTTTATACTATGAATCTAGGGAAAGTTGTTTTTTCCTACAATTTTCAATAATAACAAAAGTGGGATTTGCTACTATCGAAGTTTACAAAGAAAAATGCCACATATATATATTCAAAATAACATGTGAGAAATAATCAATGCCTCATCTGCTGCCTTGTTGCAATTTTCTACTGTCTAAAAATTTCAAGAAGTTTTAAATTTTAAAAATTAGCATTAGATTGCAACTTTCAATGCAAATAGGAAAATCTCATCAGGTAAAACCAAAATCAGTCTCACTTAGATTAATGAAACTAATGTCTAGTTTTCTTACACTCTTTATCTTACAGAATTGACATTGGCCTGGGAATATGTAGTAGGAATTAGCAAAAAACA